TGTGATTTTGTCTTTTTACATTACTTTTACAAAAAAGAGTATTTTAGAAGGAAAAAAAATACCTAAATAAGCATTGAAGAAAGTCATATCACTGGAATCACTAAGGAGTTTAGTGTGTAGGGGGTACTGTGTGTGTATGTGTATGTGTGTGAAGTTTCATTCTTGTTGCTTTAGGAATTACAGGCTTTCATTAGGTTACATTAGGCAGGAGTTGCTGATCGACTCTGTGTTCAAACAGTATTAACATGCCAAACACCTATTGCATGCTATGTCAGATGTGTCCCACCATCTAGCCTTGCCTGATCCGGGGGTTTGGGTTTCTTGTCCCCACCTACATTCTACTACAGGGACCAACTTTGAATAGGCTCTGACTTGCTTCAAACAACACAATGTTTTCTTTTTCTTGTAAATATTTTACTGAAGTACAGTATACATACCAAGAAGTACACATAAGCACACAAAACTAGTGAGTTTTTGTCCTCTCATTGCACTTAGAACCAACACCCGATTTAATACCAAAACATTACTAGTACCCCAAGAGTCATCACTATTTCCACTCTGTCCATTTTTTTTAACGTGAGAAAGAGTATATTGTCATGTACGTGGCATGATTCAGTGAGGCAATATTTATCACTAGATATCAAGTGATATGACATTCACACAATTTTTATATTCTGTATATATTTCCTCATATAAAAGTTATATTTTTCTTTTTGTATCTGGCTTTTTTCACTTAGCATAATGATCTCTCTTTGCATCCATTTTCTTGTAAATGTCAGAATTTATATGGTTGAGTAAAGTTTCTTCGTGTAAATATACCATATTTTCTTTATCAATTCATCAGTTGATATTTATCCATCTATTCCATATTTTAGCTATTGTGAATTGAGGTGCTGCAAACATTGGATTGCAGATATCTCTTTAGTGGGCTTTCATTTCCCTTGGCTATATTCTCAGGAATGGGATACCTGAGTCATATCATAGATCTATTTTTATTTTTTTGAGGAATCACTGTTTACAGCATTGTGAAAATGCAAATTGGTACAACAATTACGGAAAATAGTATGAAGATCCCTTAAATAACACCATATGATAGTGTTGGACACTATCCAACACTATCTCTGTTGGACCTGTTGTGGGGTGTCTCTGTTGAACCTGTTGTGGGGTGGCTGAATCCAGGTTCTTATCTCTGACACAAGAAGGAATTTGAGGACAAGATCTAAGGAAAGCTCAGCAGAGAATGAAGATTTGCTTTTTTGCACAGTGAAAGTACACAGTCAAGGAATACAAGCATGCTCAAGAGAGAATAGCACTCTACAAGGCTCAAGGCCATCCCTTTCAGGGGTGGGTAAGCTTTTTCCCGCCATGGGCCACTTGGATATTTATCACATACTTTGTGGCTCATACAAAATTATCAACTTACAAATTAGCCTACTATGGATTCATTGAAGTTCAAGTCGTGCCTACTGTTGCCATTGGCAGGGCTGGGCCAAATGATTTTGCAGGCCTTACACAGCCCACATGACAGACTTTCCTGATCTGCAGGCATAGTGGGTGGTGTGTGGGTTTGGGCTTAATTGAATATTGAAAAGGGCAGAATTTGGAACAGGGCTTGAGTAGTTCCCATTTCCTTGACTTTTTATGGACATCTTCAAAGTGTCATGTCCAGCAGATGCATCATGGGGATGGGGGTGTCAGCCATGGTAATTTTGTTACAGTGGCATTATGATGACCTGAATATCATTACAGATACACAGTGGGCAGCTGTGTCAGATATTTTTAGCTAGGATTAGTTCTAACCAGGAAGAGGATGGAGGCTGTGGTTTCCCACTAAACAGAGGATCTGGGGAGTTGGGCAATGCAGGTGAGTCTGCAGGGAGATGCAGGTGACCTCAGCTTCTCCTGGCTAGCTGCTTCCCTGCCTACATCAGATCATAAGGTGAGACTCCCCGAGACCTTCTTAGAGCTCAGAAACAAGACCTGAGTTATGGGGAGCAGTTCACCTCGTGTCCTTTATAAATTAATTTACAATGAGTTGGTCAGTGGAAGACCAGAGCCAACAAATAAATCCTTCTCTTTAACTGCTTCTCAGGAGAAGTTATCCTATGATCCAGTAACAGTGATCATCGCCTACTGGATCAACCTGGCACGATTAATGCCACAGGAATGTAGCCTCAATAATACACCCTCGTATCATCTTCCAACTTCTCTGCCTCTCTCCCTGTCCGCTAATCCCTGGAAAGTAGAGGCAAATAAGGTTTAGCTCAGGCTCCACTTTCTGATACCATCAAGATAAATCTTTTATTGCTTTTCTGTGTTTTCATAAAAAAATCCCTGTTAGTGCTTCCAAAAGTGATTATTGTATCTCAGGATTATTGGCTGAGTGGTCCCTCCTGAGTTAAATCACACAGCTACATTCAACAGGTAGATACCCTAGATGAATTCAACTAATTCCACTGAAACAGCTGAGACTTCATCTACTAGGTCTTTGTCTTGCTGTGAGATCTGCTCCCCTTGGCAGAGAAAAGAAGTTAGCTGGGTTTGTTCACAATCCAGAATACCCTAAAACGCTGAAAGTCAAAGCAGAAAGTTTGCTTAAAGCCTTCAAGATGTATGATTCCAATTCTGATGCATTGTCTTGATCATGATGAGTTGTAGATGATAGCAGATTCAAGGGAGACAGAAATAGACTCTGCCTCCGGATGCAAGAGCAACTGCCACCTTGCAAGGGGCTTGGACACCAGGAGCATTACACATTAAGGAACATCATTAAAATAATCTAACTCAAATCTCCTCTCACAAAATTAGTGACATATTCTTAATGTCTCTTGAGGCAAAGTTGCCCCTCCCACAAGTGATTATGCAGCTTCCACAGAAAGCAAGATAAGAGGAATAAGAGGAACAATAACCTGCTTAGATGGTCAGATCCATCAAATCAATACTGACAACATACACGGCTCTTGGCTCCATCATTAGTGTCTGTTCTCAAGGAGATTTGACAAAGAAGCCACTGTTTTTAAAATTCTCCTCACTGTTCTTCAAATGATTGACAGTAGTGGAAAGCAGAGGGTGTCTCAAAGTAGTTTGTAATTTTCAATCTGCCAGGAAGTACTTGATTGAGAGTTTAGGAGACAAAGTGGTGGGATGTGAACCGGCTCCCTGATGTTATTCAAGGCCATTGACCTGCTACAGTGCTTCCAGGGGGAGCCCACCTCAAATGTGCAGTCAACCACTGAAAGCAAATGACTGCAATGGCATTTTGAAGCAATTTTCCATATGGCTACCCCGAACCACTGACAGGACTGTAAGAATTAGAGTGTGTATGACAATTAAAAAGAGATATTCTCTCTCCAAGGGTTGTACAGCTCCACTGTAAAGTGTTCAGATGGGCAAGTTGAGCACAAGCTGGAATCCAGATTGTCTCAGCACTCAGCCAGCACCACCGGGACAATGAGAGGCCCAGTTGGGTCACTGAGGATTATCAAAGTAAGCTAGATAAAGCATCAGCGAGAAAGGGGAAGTAATCTGACTCCTCTGAGGATGTGGCAATGCAAAAAGAACAGACACTGGTGGAGATAACTCTGTACACAACCAGTTCTAATCCACCAAGTAGGTTTTCCTAACTGAACTAATTATAATAGCTGCACTCTCCTTTCATGGAGATAGGAATAGCAGCAAAGTTATGAAATACTAGATCAGTGCAAATTCCATGATAAAGCAAATTCATTAGAATTACTAGTAGTAGAGTTAGAATTTTAAAACAGACCCATGATACAGAAGATAGATTCTATAAAGATGCACAGACGCTAAAGAAATTAACAGAAATGACAATTCAAGAGAACAATCATAGAAGATGGTACATGAAGAAACAACCCAAGATTAATTGAATTTCCTAAGGGGAAATACTGAACAAATGAGAGAAATTGATCAAGAGGATAAGAGAAGAAAAGTTTACAGAACTTAAAAATGCTAAAAATGAAAAATTGATATGTAGGTTACAAAAAAAATAAGACTCAAATATCACAACACATTCTGGTGACATTCTTAATCTTCAAGAAAGAGAAACTCTTACCTTTAAACTTCAAGGAAGGAAACTTTTTGAAAAGACTTTTTTTAAAAGCACCAAAATGTTTAAATGGCTTGAAGAAATGAGTTGACATTATAAACTGCTTAGGGGCAAATGTGATAAAACAGAATTAGAGGAATAAAAATCATAAATCACAGTAAAAGTGGCAGGAAAGAATACAGTTGTAAAGTCTCCAACATTTTATCATTAATTTTTTTCTTCATAAAAAGGAAGATCACAATCCGGAAGGCAACCTGTGGTTTATCTCCACTGCTAGAAAACATCTGCTTTTTTTTTTTTTTTTTTTTTTTTTGACAGGCAGAGTGGACAGTGAGAGAGAGACAGAGAAAAAGGTCTTCCTTTGCCATTGGTTCACCCTCCAATGGCCGCCACGGCCAGCGCGCTGCTGCCAGCGCACCGCGCTGATCCGAAGGCAGGAGCCAGGTACTTCTCCTGGTCTCTCATGCGGGTGCAGGGCCCAAGCACTTGGGCCATCCTCCACTGCACTCCCGGGCCACAGCAGAGGGCTGGCCTGGAAGAGGGGCAACTGGGACAGAATCCGGCACCCCGACCGGGACTAGAACCCAGTGTGCTGGTGCCGCAAGGCGGAGGATTAGCCTATTGAGCCGCAGCGCCAGCCAACATCTGCTCTTTTTAAAAATTTTTATTTAAGGTGGACAAATTTCATGTAATTCATATACACAAGTAAGAGCACGATACTTCCACACTACCCTCCCTTCAGCCCACATTCTCACCCTCCCTCCTCCTTCCTTTCTTGTTTTTTCTTTTAATTTTTACAACGACATACCTTCAGTTTATTTTATAACCACAAGCTTAGCCCTCAACTACATAAATAATTCAACAAGTAGTAAATAGAAAAATCACTGTTCCTCAAGAATATAGATAAGTGCTATGCCGGCACCGCAGCTCAATAGGCTAATCCTCCACCTAGTGGCTCCGGCACACCGGGTTCTAGTCCCGGTCGGGGCGCCGGATTCTGTCCCGGTTGCCCCTCTTCCAGGCCAGCTCTCTGCTGTGACCCGGGATGGCAGTGGAGGATGGCCCAAGTGCTTGGGCCCTGCACCCCATGGGGAGACCAGGAGAAACACCTGGCTCCTGCCTTCAGATCAGTGCGGTGCGCCAGCCACAGCATGCCAGCCGTGGTGGCCATTGGAGGGTGAACCAATGGCAAAAGGAAGACCTTTCTCTCTGTCTCTCTCTCTCACTATCCACTCTGCCTGTCAAAAAAATAAAAAAAAAAGAATTAAACAAGTAGTAAATAGAAAAATCACTGTTCCTCAAGAATATAGATAAGGGCTACAAATGATAAGTCTAAAAATGTCAAATTCACTCATATACATTACAGTTTTTTATTCTGTATATTAGTTATAACAAATTGGGGGAAAATGTGATATTTGGCTTTTGTGGACTGGCTTGTTTCACTAATGATAATGGTTTCCAGTAGCATTCATTTTGTTCCAAGGGACAGGTTTTTATTCTTTTTTATGGTTGAGTAGTATTCCTTAGTGTAAATGTGCGTGCGTGCGTGTGTGTGTGTGTGTGTAATCACATTTTCTTTATCTAGTTATCAGTTGATGGACATCTGGTTTGGATCCACATCTTAGCTATTGTGAATTAAGATGCCATAAACATGGGGGTACAGATAAGTCTTTCATATAATGACTTCATTTCCTTTGGGTAAATTCCCAGGAATGGGATTGCTGGGTCACATGATAGATCTATTTTCAGCTTTCTGAGGTATCTCCATACAGTCTTCCACGTTGGCTGTACTAGTTTACATTCCCACCAGCAGTGGATTAGGGTGCCTTTTCCCCCAGCATCCTCACCACATTTATTGTTAGTTGATTTCTGTATGAGAGCCATTCTAACTGGGGTAAGGTGAAACCTCGTTGTGGTTTTGATTTGCATTTCCCTGATGGTTAGTGACCCTGGCACTTTTTCATGTGCCTGGCTATTTGGATTTCCTCTTATGAAAAATGCCTGTTCATGTCCTTAACCTATTTCTTAACTGGATTGTTTGCTTTGTTGTTGTTGAATCTTTATAGATTCTGGATATTACTCCTTTATCAGTTCATAGTTTGCAAATATTTTCTCCCATTCTGTTGGTTGCCTCTTCATTTTGTTGATTTTTTTCCTATGCAGCACAGAAGTTTCATAGCTTGATATAATCCTCTTTGTCTATTTTTGTGTTTATTGCCTGTGCTTCTGGGGTCTCATCCATAAAATGTTTGCCTATGCTACTGTCTTGTAGAGTTTCCCTGATGTTTTTCTCTAGTAATTTGAGGTATAGGGTCATGGATTTAGATTCTTGATGGATTTTCAGTTGGTTTTTGAATAAGGTGTAAGGTAGAGGTTTTTCTTCATACTTCTGCATTCAGAGATCCAATTTTCCCAGCATTCATTTTAGCTTTTTTGTATAATATTCATTTTTTAGATGGGTGGATTGATCTCTGGTTTCTATTCTGTTCATTTGGTCTGTATGTCTATTTTTGTGCCTGTACCAGTTTTGATTATACCCTAGTATGTCTTGAAATCTGGTATTATGATGGCTATAGCTTTGTTTTTGTTTAAGATTGCTTTAGGTATTTGGAGGTCTCTTGTGTTTTAGGATTGTCTTTCCTAGATCTGAGAAGAACTTGTTGGTCTTTTGATTGCATTTACATTGAATCAATAAATGTTTTTAGTAGTAATAAGATTTTGTTTATATTATTCAATCACAAACATGACAGTTTTTTCATTTTTGTCTTTTTCTTAATGTTTTGTAATTTTCATTGTAGAAATCTTGCACACCCTTGATTAAATTTACTTCAATGTATTTAAATGTTTTGGAGCTTCTGTAAATCTGCTATTCATACAAGTTCTTGGTCAGCGAGATATTGTCTGTGAATACAAGGCTATTGATTTTTGCATGTTGATTTTATATTCTGCGATTTTACCAAACTCTCTTGAGTTACAATACTCTCTTAATGGATTCTTTTGGTTTCACTACATATAGATTATGTCATCTGCAAATAGAGATAATTTGACTTCCCCCTTTCCATTTTGAATCCCTTTGATTTCTTTTTTCTTTCCTTCACGGCTCTGGCTAAAACTTCTAGAATTATATTGATTAGTAATAGTGAAAGTGGGCAGGAATCATTGTCTTGTTCCAGATCTTAGTGGAAATGCTTTAAAGCTTTTCTTTGTTTAATATGATGTTCCTATGGGTTTGAATGTTCTTCTATACCCAATTTAGTTAAGGTTTTCATCCTTAAAGGATGTTATATTTTATCAAATGCTTTCTCTGCATCTATCAAAAACTCATGCTTTTATTCTTCAGTTTGTTAATGTTTTTTAATGTATCATATTCATTGATTTTTATATGATGAACCCTCCCTACATACCAGGGATAAATCCCACTTTGTCTGGGTGAATGACCCTTCTGATGTGTTGTTGTATTCAATTAGATGGTATTTTGTTAAAGATTTCTGCATTTATGTTCATCAGGGATACAGGTTTATAGTTCTTTCTTTGTTGTATCTTTTGCTAGTTTCAGAATTAAGATGATGCTGGCCTCATAGAGTTTGGGAGGATAACCTCCCTTTCAATTGTCTTGAATAGCTTGAGAAGAATTGGAATTAGTTCTTCTTTAAATGTCTGGTAGAATTCAGCAGTAAAACAATCTGGTCCTGGGCTTTTCTTGGTTGGGAGGGTCTTTATTACTGATGAATCTCTGTCTTGGTGATTGGTCTGCTTAAGTTTTCTGTGTCTTCATGACTCAATTTTGGTAGATTGTATGTGTCTAGAAATCTTTCCATTTCTTCTAGATTTTCTACTTTTGGGCATATAGTTTTTTTTATAGGACTTATTTGTTGTTTTGTACAATGTGAATTAATGCTATAACTAGTACTCAAACAGTACTTCACACTTTGTGTTTCTGTGTGGATGCAAACTGTTGACATTTTCACTTAATATATACTTAATCGATCTTCTGTATATAAAGAGAATTGAAAATGAGTCTTGATGTAAATGGAATGGGAGAGGGAGTGGGAGATGGGAGGGCTGAGGGTGGGAGGGAAGTTATGGGGTGGAAAAAGCCATTGTAATCCATAAGCTGTACTTTGTAAATTTATATTTATTAAATAAAAGTTTTAAAAAAATATTTATTTAAAAGTCAGAGTTACGTAGGAGAGGCAGAGGCAGAGAGAAAGAGAACCTTGAATCCAATGATCCACTCACCAAATGGCCGCGATGGTGAGGGTTAAATCAGGTCTCCCACAAAAATGCAGGGGCCCTAGGACTTCAGCCATCTTTTGCTGCTTTCCCAGGCATATTAATAATGAGCTGCATTGGAAGTGGAACAGCAGGGATTAGAAATGGCACCTATATGGGACACCAGTGCTGCAGGCACTGGATTTACCCACTATTTCACACTGCCAGCCCCTCATCTCTAACTTAATTAATTTGGATCTTCTGCCCTCTGTTTTTTGTTATTTGAGCCAATGGTGTATCAATTTTGTTTATTTTTTTCAAAAAGCTAGGTTATCATTTCACTGACTTTGTATTTTTTGTTTGAATTTTATTTCTTCTTTAATTTTAATTATTATTCCCTCTTACTAATTTTTGATTTGGTTTATTGTTGTTTTTCTAGGTCCTTCAGATGCATTTCTTATGAGGGACTCCAAATAATCTCCCACCTGCAAAACCTAGTGGTCAGTTTTCAGTCCAAATTTTATTTAATTTTTCTACGGATTTTGCCTTTTCTATAGATAACAAAAATATTGCCTACTTCTTCCTTGCAAATACCTCCTGTCTTATATTCTGCACCAGTTCTCACTACCATAGTGAGAGTCATGAGAACCTGAGGAGTTAACTGAACGTTGGATCCCCAAGCCTCACTGCCAAAGGTTCTCAGTCTAGTCTAGACCAGGACTCAGGAACTCAACATGCAGCTGTTATGCCCATGCCTGCAGCCACCTTTGAGAAATGTGTTATTTAAGTTCTCTATCTACTCTGTTGCTGCTGCTCACTGCTGCCTCCTTACACCAGCCTCCCCGTCTTTAGGAGTTGCTGTCTGCTTTGCTGAGGTGCTCCATTCTGCATGGGGACTTACCCATTCCCATGCCATCAAATGTCACTGATGTGACAATGATGACTTTTTCCCGAGCCCCAGGTCCATTCCCCTTCACTTTTTGGATGCTGCCATATTACTGAAATTTTGTACCCTTTGATCACTGGCATCTGGAAATCAATTCCAAAGCCAGATTCATAACATACAGCTTGAACCTACTCTTCTTCCTGACTCTCCTAGAAAGAAACAACATCCTTCACCCAAAGCAGAAATTCAGGTTCCTCCATGGCTGGTAAAGCAGTCATCCACTTTTGTCAGTTCTTTTATTTTTTATTTTATTTTATTTCTTTAAATTAACTATTATTGTTTTATTTATTTAATTAATTTATTTACTTATTTATTATGTATGTATTTATAAGACAGAGCTAAAGAGAGCAAGAGAGGCTTCCATCCACTGGTTCACTCCCCAAATGACTGCAACAGCTGGAGCTGTGCCAATCCAAAGTCCGGAGCCAGGAGCTTCTTCCAGGTCTCCCACATGGGTGCAGGGGCCCAAGGACTTGGGTCATCTTCCACTGCTTTCCCAGGCCATAGCAGAGAGCTGGATGGGAAGAGGAGCAGCCAGGATTAGAACCAGCACCCATATGGGATGCAAATGCTGCAGGCCTGGGCTTTAACCCACTACACCACAGCGCTGGCCCCTAACAATTCTTCATATCATAACTACTTTCCAAATCTATTTATTCCCCATTCTTACTTATAATTAATATGGCTGCAATATCTCAGTGCTCACTCGCTCTCTCTTTCTCTCTCAAGTTGAACAAGAGATAAATGTTGTTAATGTAAGTTGCTGATATTTTGGGGTTGTTACCCTACAACAACCCAATCAGAGTTGACAACAATAGCCAGGACCATTTTGCCTTTCTCACATGGACAATGAAACATGTTCTGTTTTTCTTTTAGTAGAAATAACATGAATTCACTGCAAGTAAAAATTCTGAGGATATCATGCAAGATTAGAAATACTGAAAAAATTCTATGCTTTTATTTCATTTTTCTTCTTATATATCATATAAACAATTTCCCAAGGAAAACATGTAATAAGCCTTAGTGTATCATACCTTTCTTTACCCATTTTATAGAGGTGTAATTAACAGATGAGAATTGTGTATGTTGAAAGTGAACAGTCACTATGATGACTGTAGTTTGTGGAGGAAAAGACATTATGGTGAAATGGGGTAAGACACTGCTTGGGACATCCATATCCAGTACAGGAATACCTGGGTTTGAGTCCTGCCTTTGCTTTCCATGAAGCTCCCTGCTGATGAACATCTTGGTAAATATACATCTTGGCTCTAGTACTTTGGTTGCTATCTCCCACCAAGGTGATTTTAGAAGAGTTCTTTGCTCCTAGCATTGGCCTGGCCCAGACCCAGGTGTTGCAGGTATTTGAGCAGTGAACCAGTAAATGGAAGATGCCTCTTTCTCTTGTTCCATTTTCTTTTTCTTTCTTTTTTTTTTTTTTTGACAGTCAGAGTGAACAGTGAGAGAGAAAGAGAGAGAGAGAGACAGACAGACAGACAGAACGGTCTTCCTTTGCTGTTGGTTCACCCTCCAATGGCCGCTGTGGCCAGTGCGCTGCGGCTGGTGCACCACACTGATCCAATGGCAGGAGCCAGGTGCTTCTCCTGGTCTCCCATGGGATGCAGGGCCCAAGTACTTGGGCCATCCTCCACTGCACTCCCTGGCCACAGCAGAGAGCTGGCCTGGAAGAGGGGCAACCGGGACAGAATCCGGCGCCCCGACCAGGACTAGAACCTGTGTGCTGGCGCCGCAAGGCGGAGGATTAGCCTAGTGAGCCGCAGCGCCGGCCGTTGTTCTATTTTCATACATAATTCTTATACATTTTTATGAGGTGCAATGAAATATTCAATACATGTATATACAGTATAAATGGAACAAATCGAGCAATTTATTCTTTTTTTTAATGTTTAGAGCCTACCAGCTACTTTCTTCCACTTCTCTACTGTAGTCAATTCGTGTAAACTATTGTCATCCTTTTGTGTTGTAGATCATTAAAGCATCAGGAACTCCCTCTAACCCCACTCCCACACCCTTCACAGCCTCTAATACTTGCTAAATTCAGATTGACTTTTAAAACCTAAACATATGAGATAGAATATATGGTATTTGTCTTTCTGTGTCTGGTTTATTTCATTTAATGTAATGATTTTCAGTAGCATCCATTTGGCTGTAAATGATAGAATTTCACTGTCCCTTATGGCTACATAATATTTCATTGTGTATATTTACCACATTTTCTTTATTTTCTGTTTAATTCATACTCATAAGATTAACTATGTATTCAACAAATAGTATGAAGAAAAAACACTGTTCTTCAACAGTAGAGACAAGAGCTGTAAATAATCATCAAATTTCAAAAGGTCAGTTTTACCCCAATATATCACATTTTAGATACTCTATTAGTTAACACAGATCAGGGAAAGCATATTATCTGACTTTTGGGGATGAGCTTATTTCACTCAAGTACAGTGGTTTCCAGTTGCATCCATTTGTTGCAAAAGACAGGATTTCATTTTTTTTTAACTACTGAGTAGTATTCCAATGTGTATATATACCATAATTTCTTTATCCAGTATTAGTTGATGGACATCTGTGTTGATAATATATCTTAGCTATTGTGAATTGAGTGGCAATAAACATGGTTATAGATCACCCTTTCATATGCTGATTTCATTACGTTTGGGTAAAATCTCAGGAGTGGGATGGCTGGGTCATATGGTGGGTCTATATTCAGATTTCTGAGGTATCTCCATACTGGCTTTCACAATGGCTGCAGCAGTTCACAATCCCACCAGCAGTGGATTAGGGTACCTTTTCCCCTACATCCTTACCAGAACCTGTTGTTTGTTGATTTCTGCATCAGGAGCATTCTAACTGGGGAGAGATGAAACCTCATTGTAATTTTTATTTGCATTTCCCTGAAGGCTAGTGATCTTGAACATTTTTTCATGTGTCTGTTGGCCATTTGAATTTTCTCTCTTGAAAAATGCCTGCTCAAGTCCTTTGCCAATGTCTTAACTGTATTGTTTGATTTTTGGGTTTCATGAGCTCTTTATAGATTCTGGACATTTATCCTGTATCTGTTTCATAGTTTGAAAATACTTTCTTCCATTCTGTTAGTTGCCTCTTCACCTTACTGAGTGTTGCTTTTGCAGTGCAGAAGTTTCTCAACTTGATGTAACCCCACTTGTCAATTTTTGTTTCATTGCATGTGCTTCTGGGGTCTCTTCCTAGAAATCTTTGCCTATGCCAATGTCTTGCAGAGTTTTCCCCAATGTTCTCTAGTAATTTGATGGTATCAGGTGGTAGATTTAGGTCCTTGATCTATTTTGTGTGGGTTTTAGTGTGACATGTAAGTAGGGGTCTAGTTTCATAATTCCACATGCAGAGATTCAGTTTTACCAGCACCAAGTTTTGATGAGACTCTCCTTTCTCCTGGGATTGATTTTAGCTCCTTTGTCAAAGATTGTGGGGAGCAACTCAGACTAGACTAAGTTACTCGAATTAAGACTTATTCTATGCATCTGCTCTCCCACAATATGGCGCTGGGAGAGGAGTAAATAGCTTCTACACAGCTGCCTCTCGCCAATTTGATTGACTGAGCTGCAGGAGGTGATCCTGCTCCTGATTGGAGGAGAGCAGCGTACTTGGTGTGTGGGTAGCAGAGTTGGGATTGGTGGAAGAGGACTATAAAGGAGGAGAGAGACAACATGCACCAGGAACATCTATCTGAAGGAACACCTGAGCAGCCCCCGAGAGAGCCGGTCAGCAGTGTGCCACTCCCCCGCAGAAGTGGGGAAAGTGGCAGGGGGAACCGCCCTTCCACGGAGGTGGAAGGGACGGTAGCCAACCCGGGAAGAAGCAGCAGCAAACACGGGGAGGGCCGAGCAGACAAAAGAACAGCTCAGGGTCCTGTGTCGTTCCTCCGCGAAGAGGGGGAGCGACAAAAGATAAGTTATACCTAGGGTGTATTTGTGTGTCTTTGTCGAAATGAGTTGGCTTTAGATGCATTTTTGGATATCTGTTTTGTTCCAGTGGCCTACATATCTGTATTTATTCCAGTACCACCCCGGGTTTTTTTTTTTTTTTTGGCATTCTTTTTATTTTTAATAAAATTTTTATTTAAAAAATATAAATTTCGAAAGAAACTGGATTATAGCAGTTTTTCCCCCATAACCACCCTTCTACCCACAAACCATCCCATCTCCTACTCCCTCTCCCATCCCATTCTTCATCAAGATTCATTTTCAATTATCTTTATATACAGAAGATCAGCTTAGTATATACTAAGATTTCAACGGATTACACCCACACAGAAACACAAAGAATAAAGTACTGTTTGAATACTAGTTTTACCGTTAATTTGCATAGTACAACACATTAAAGACAGAGCTCCTGCATGAGGAGTAAGTGTACAGTGACTCCCGTTGTTGATTTAACAATTAACACTTTATTTATGATGTCAGTAATCACCTGAGGCTCTTGTCATCAGCTGCCAAGGCTATGGCAGCCTCTTGAGTTCACAAACTCTGACCTTATTTAGACAAAGCCATAATC